GGTCTTAACACACCTCAGGAATGCGCAACTTTCCCAGATGCTGCCCTTGTACATCGACTTTTTTGAGTTCTACATTCTCTCTCTCTCTCGGGAACCGAGTTAATGAATTTAGTGGGAAGCACCGCCTATCTCAAGTACGCCCCGCCCATTTCGGGTGTGTCTCCCCTAATTAGTCTGACAACCCCTTGCTAAGCTTATTCCACTTTTCCCGCATCTCTGTCTCTGGGTTGCTCTGAAGAGAATTATGAATTTTTGTCTGCGACACCCCATCTTTCGGTGTATGCCCCCCCAGCGGCCTTCGTCCAGGCCATGCGTGCTCTTTACTTCCTGTCCCATGCCCTACCCATCCCCACCTTGACCCGACCTCTCCAAGTCGTTCTTCAGGTCGAACCGAATTTCCGGACAGACAAAAACAAACAAACAAACAAACAAACACACGAAGCAAATTATGTTCTTCACTTCGACTGAGTTTCCGGACACAAAAACAAACAGACGAAGCAAATTATACGTAGTGTGTCATCCGAAATCGGACCAGTTTTTTTCCAACTTTTTTCTGCGAGGGCAGATTTGGCTGTCATTTATTTCCACGAGTAGTTTGACCTCCTGAACATGAACATCGTATGTGCATGTGGTGCCACTGGAGGAAAGGGAGACCCGTGATGCTGCCTGCTAAGCTAATCTGCACCCCCAAGATAGTGGTCCCTTCCTTTGCTAAGGGTGAACGTTAGCAAAACAAGGATCACTAGCAGGCGACCATAAAGGGTGCTGTCCCAACTCACCGTATTTGTCTAATTGCCGTAGCACATTGCTGGGCACGAAATAACCAGGAGTCAGAGCTACACGCGCCGCGGTCTAGAGAAGCATGTGGTGCGTGACTTGTAACTCAGGCGGTTAGCTACTTCGTGCCAAACGAATGCCATATTCGTGATCAGGACCCGGAATAACACCACTGTGAAGGTCTACACCGGTTTGTTACAAAAAAGGTGGCGTTCATTCCTTACGACGTCGACGTGTTCGAGGTAATCGGCTACAGAACCTTAGGTACGTATCTGTCCGTATCTGTCTGTCTGTCGCTACACCAGTCGTAACCGACTTTACCGACGTAACGGATGTTTTCGACGTCAATCGATACGTATTTGATCCTCGTAGTTGGCAAAGAAGTCGCAAGGTATGGACGCAGGCACTGCTCACCCAATTAACCTACTTTTCGGAAAAATCAACGTTTCGAGTCCATAAATAGTGGAAGGGTGCTCAGCTGTCTTTAACAGTTTAAAGTCATATGGCACGATAATTTGGTGGTTGGTCTGTAGTGCTAGCCGGTCTTCCTACTCTATATAATCCGCTAAGTATGTCTGTCCGTGTGTGTGTGTGTGTGTGTATGTTTGTGTGTGCGTCTGTCTGTGTGTCACGAAATTCATAGCGCCTTGTCCCAGTAGCAGTGAGACACGCAGTGATTGGAAGAGTTCCGTTCCCCATTATGGAGCGCGCCTGGCGAAGCCAGGCCAGCTCGGCGAAGCCGAGCTAAAGAGAAGGAGGAGAGCTCGGCGTCAGCCGGGCGATCCGACTGGTATATTTATATAGCGGGAAAATGGTGAAAAACGAAGTGAAATGGTCAAAACCCTGCGAAGAAAAGCCTCTGTTCCTAATGACTCAAGGAATAATTTCGGGGTTCGTAGTCGGGTCTAGCCGTAATTTCGGACGAGCTTCCCGTAGGCATCTTGCAAATACTGCTACGGTAGGTACGGCTGCATTTATGTAGCACCCTCTCGTCCGCATGGCACTCTATGGCCGATCTATAGTGAATTCTCACATTCCGACTCTTCACCGATTATAAGTAGCTCACCCACCCCGGAGTCCCCCCCCCCCTTGAGAAAGCTCGTTTCCTGGCTCGCCATATGTTTCTTGCACGTTTCGATGCTTTGGCAACCGCTGTCCTCTATCCCCCTGCGTCACAGGGTTTCGTAACAGGACCATGCACAACAGTTCAAGATGTCACGTAACCTACTCGTCTTCAGGTGTCGTGCCAACAGCCTTTAAATTC